CCCCCCCCCCCCCCCCCCCGTTTTGGCAGCCATGACAGACTAACATGGGCTCGCCTGATCTTGCCCTTCCTGTCCTGCTCACTAGGAGGTCAGATACCCTCATGGCAGGGTGCTAGCAGGGCTGTGCTTTATGGCTCTGGGTGTGCTTTACGGACAAGTGCACAACAGTGACATACAAGAGCATAGCAACTGCCCTGGGAGGGCCTATGGGCCATAACAACCAGTTGACCAATCAACACAGGGCAACTCGTCCAAGTCTGGAAGCACACCAATCCTGAGACTGTTGTGTACCCCTAGACACTCCCCTTATGCTGCCCTATAAGATCCTGCCTCATGGGGTCTTTCTCCAGCAATCTGAAGCAGTGGATGGATGAAAGGCCCACGCTAATGGGGTTAGCTTGTTAAACAACAGCAAGAAAAGACTCTTTGCTTTTGCATTGAAATGGGCTTCTTGGTGATTTGGGGGTTCAGAATTTGGGCATAACATTACTAGGATGGAAATATCAGGACTGAGCTAGTAGCTCTCTGGTATAGTGAGTGATAAATGCCAATACCAATTTGACTGAATTCTCAGCACTTTGGGAACTAGCTGGTTATGTGTTTCAGAGTCACTACTACAACAGCTACCACCACTACAACCACCACCACAGCAGCCACTGCTGCCACCCAGCTACAGCCCTGCTGGGAACCCCCCAGGGACCAGCAGCTACAACAAAAACAGCAACATCCCTGGCTCCAGCACCAATACCAGCACTCCCACAGTGAGTAGCTACAGCCCTCTACAGCCTAGTTACAGCCATCTGCCTTATTATAACTAAGGAGGCTACACCGAGGGCTACACAGCCCCACTGCCTCCTCCACCACCACCACCTGCCTACAATTATGGGAGCTATGACTCCTACAATCATGCCCCCTACATACCCCACCACCACCCCTCACTGCCCAGACCTGCCCTCAGCCCAGCTATAACCAGTATCAGCAGTATGCCCAGCACTGGAGCCAGTGCTATCAGAACCAGAGCCATAGAAAAGGGACAGTTGGAAGGAAGGAAAATGTTTATTCAGTCTTAGACTGTTGAAGTTTGGAGTTGGGAAAGAAGAAATGGTGGGGTAATGTTGAATGTTAAGTTTTAAGCACAGAGATATCTAGGACATAAAGACACACGTGTGTGTGTGTGTGTGTGTGTGTGTGTGTGTGTGTGTGTGTGTGTGTGTGTGTGTGTGTGTGCGTGTTTGTAATCAAATATATGGACATGAATATATAATCAGGAATCCATCAGGATGCAAACAGAAATAAACCAGGAGTTTCACTAAAACTGCTTATAATAAGACGTTGAATAAATCACCTTTAACGTGAATGGAGGCAAAGGCTCTAGAATGAAAAAAGGAAGACAGAATAATGTCACAAGATGACCATCACAGAGAAAAATTTCCAAGATGAGAAATGATCAAGCCCTGAAATTTTCCTGAGGGTCAAGAACACAAAACTCGAGGCTGGAGTTGTGGGCAGCCCTGCAATCCTACTCCTTGGGAGGAGGAGGCAGAACTCAAGTCCATCATAGCTACACAATGAGTTTGAGGCCAGTCAAGTTACCTGAGATTGTCTCAGATGAAGGAAAACCACAAAAGAATATGAAAGGAGAAGTCTCTGTTGCACCATGGTGAACTTTAAAAATGTGTGTGCTGAAAATTGAGGGGAAACAAGATTTCAGATGATGACTCTGTTTACACAAAGTCTGAAAACAAACCAGGCAGCGTCAGTCTACAGCTTTTGCAATCAAAAATGTGCTGCAGTTCAGAGGGGTTGAGTTTCTTACACTTTTTAGGCACTTCCTGGATAGGTTTCAGTTTGTGAAAAGCCATCAAGTTCCAACAGCCTGAAGATGTCTGTGTA